GGAAGTGCCAAGCAAAACATCACTGACTGTATCAATATGCATGGTAGTTCAGTATGCCCAAGGTGAAAGGTCCATGCCAGACAGAGCGTGCAGTTTAAAATTTGACAGAGGGCATGGGCAAAGAAGCCCAGGTCTGTGAGTGAGGCAGGATTCTGGTCCACCAGAGCCCAATCCAGCCATCTCATTCCTTCCCGCATTTTAAAATGTCATACTGTCAGTAACAACTTTAAACTAAAATAGTTTGGCATTTTTGGCCCTGCTCCTTTGACTTGCAGCCCTGCCCACCATTGGAATCCAGGCTTTGAGAACTGCTCTGAAATAGAATTTGTACTCAGGTAAAAGAGCCTTATCAACCTTGACACACAGGGAGCCATAGAGGAAAGTGGGGCAGGAGAAACCTGTTTCTCATAGGCTTGGTTACAGGCTGAGTTAAGGTACAACATGAAAAGTAGAGCATTAGGGGAGGAGCTACAGCTTCGTGGCAAAGCTCTTGCTCTGCATGTGGAAGGTCCCAAGTTCAATCCCTGCATCTCTTGGTATGGTTGGAAATACTCCCGAAAGGCTGGATAGCGGCTGCCAGTCAAGGGCAAGCTGGACCAAGGGTCTGGCTCAGGAGAAAAACGCTTCTTATGTTGTCATGCCAAATACTTCTGGGAAAAAGGCGGGTTTTAAGGGCAGAACAGACACAGCATCAAACCAGTGTTCTGGAGACTCTTCCAGGCACACTGGGCAGCAAAGGAGAAAATATGGATTCTTTTGAGGGAGTGGGAGACCTTTGGTGGGTGGAGCTGAGGACACGACCGTCATGGACAGGGATGTACTGAGATGCACAGGAGACAGTGTGGCATAGTGGTAAGGGTCTTGGACTGGGGTTTGGAAGATCTGGGCCCTAGTCCTGACTCAGCCCTGAAATTCACTGTGTGACTTTGGACCAGTTACAGGCTGCCAGCCTGACCTACCTCACAGGGCTCTTGCTGTGAGGATAAAATGGAGAGGAAGAGAGTCTTATAAGCTACTGTTGGTTCCTTGCAAGAGGAAGAAAGGCAGGGTATAAATATGATGACGACAACGACGACAACGATAATGTGATGTGGTTATAGAGGGCTTCGAAGGGAAGGTAAAATGCTTTGAAGGGAAGGTAAAACACTGTTCCTATGCCCTTTAAAAGTAACCTGACATGTAGAAGTAACTTTTCCTATAGAATATCACCAGACCAGGAAAAGTGCCATTGCTAAAATGTCCTTGTGTCAGGTTGCAATTAAAGGTATGGGCACACAGACAGGTCAGAAACAGGCAGCTCCATCTGCGGGATACAAGACTGATGGGGGAAAGTGGTCCTCTCCCCATGCCCAGGACTTCAGTTCAGCTGAATTAACATGTCTGAAGAAGGAAAAACTCTCCAAGAACACAGAGCTTGTAACTGCATTCTGAATATTTCCGACTGGATAGCAGAGCTATTATCAGTATTTCTGGAGACAGCGGGAGCTTCTGACAGAACATGTCGATTCATTTGCCTATTTTAAGACATGTAGAGTCAGCACATCAGCAAATAGGTGGCTCAGTGATGAGAGAGTCTTTAGAAGTCCTTCAATGACAATTAGAAGGAGCAGCAGGCCTGAGTGAGAAGCAAGGCAAATATTCCAACTTGTTTCTGTTCATACAGAGGTATAAAAATGTTTTAATTTTCACTTGGTATGTGTTATGCAGAACTCAGCAAGATAGCCTTCTGGGAGTGAAATTTTATGGGTGAGGCATTCAGACTGAATGTTTTAGGAAAGACTAAGTGTACAGAAGATTATCCAGACCCATTCCAGTTTGGCTTTCAACCTGGTTACAGGGCCACATCAATCTTGGTCACCCTGGTGGATGACCATTATTGGGAGAAGGACAGCAGGAGTACAACCCTGTTAATTCTGCTCAGACTTTCATAAGATTTCATACCATCAGCCATAGTAGCTTTCTGAACTAACTCCATGGGCTAGACACTGGAGGTACTACGTTACAGTGATCCTGGTCTTACCGGCAGAGCCAACTTCAGAGAGTAATGTTAGGTGACTGGTTCTTGGTAATTGAGCACTGGAGTTCCACTGGACACCATTTTGTCTCCAGTGTTACTCAGCCTCCCTCTGAAGCCACTGGGGGATTTGAAGCCTAGTGCTATCAGTTGGCTGGGACCTCTGAATCAGGTGAAGCTGTGTAGGTCCAAGATTTCTGCAGAGACTCAGTGAAGAGGCTGGATAACAATCAATAAGCAGAACTTAATTCTGTCAAGATGGAAGCCTTGTAGATAAATCACTGCCAGCTCACTCCTCGTGAAAGATCCCATTCATAGTCTGAGGGTATCCCTAGCTTCACTGTTGTCACTGGAGACCCAAGAGACCACTGTGCCTCACAGAGCCTCAAACCATTTTTGGCACTCTGAACAAGGCAAAACTGCCCTCAGAGATACAGGCACTAGTAATGTCAAGACTGGAATACCTCAATGTGTTATATGGGGCTACCCTTTCAGCTGATCTGGAAGCTAGAGCTAATGTAAAATACAGCAGCTTCATTGTTGTTAGGAGCTGCCCCTTTTAACATCCAACCCCTTTGCAGAGGGAGTTGCAGTGACTGCCTATTTACTACCAGGCCAGATTTAAGGTACTGATACTAGTGTATAAAGTCCTCAACATCTTGGGGTCAGGATATTGGAGAAAATACCTTCCCCTTTATGAAGCTCCCCAACCATGGAGGCTATCAGATAGCATGTCCGTGGTGGTTCCACACAGACCCATGGCCAATTGAGAGTCCATCCAGAGAAGAGCCTTTACTGTGCCTCTTAAGGTTAGGCAGTCATCAACACAGTGTCGTTTCCATCTGCGTTTCAGGAAAACTTCCTTGATTGGCCAGACACTGTTTTTATTGGCATTCTGCTTCTAATATTATGTTTTATTCTTTTATCTTGTGTGTTGCAGAATCTGTGTAGAAATGGAGTGGGATACAGACTCTATATGTAAATAAATTTACTTCCACCATCTGGCATTTTCCTGGAAACTGAAAGCTAACAGTTGCCATTTTCCGTAAGTCTCTGGGAACTATGCTACATCAGCACATAGCATTTCTCCAATAGCTGTTGGGATAGGAAGTGGTGACCACCATGTTCCAAGTAGAGGCAGCAAGTTCAATTTTAATGTCACACTCTTTCTCCAAAATGCATGTGGTGGTTTCAACCCAGTTTTGATCTGCTGCACACCACTGAAATTTACACTGAAGATTTTCATATGAGAACTTCCTGCTCAACATTAGGTTTCTTTTTCTTTTCTATTTTAATAAACTGCCAAACATAAAATGATGGGCAAACCTTCAATATGGCTCTATCACAACAGCTCTGCAAGCCTCCCAAGTTGCTTTCCCTCACCCTTCCTTGCTTGTTCCAGGAAGAAACTCTTGCAAACATGGCTGATCAGATGGTGAAACTAGTCTTTTGTACTGGACAAGATCCATGAAAGGGAAAGCCTTTATTGCCACCTTGACATGCGCAGAACATGGTAAAGGCTGCATGTACAACTCGCTAACCTCCACAACATAGGGTAGGGCTTGTGTAAACCTATTAGTATAGTCTGCCCTGAAATATAGAGAATCAGGATAGTTTTCTGATGACCCCACAAAGTAATCACCTAACTCTGCTTGTTGTTCTGTCAAAATCCTAGGACATGGAACTCACTTGGACCTAATAGCTCCATGGTATTGAACCTCTGTTGCCTGAGCAACAGCAAAAAGTATGTGGCCAAAATCTCAAAGCTACCAGTACACTTTATCTTACAGCTCTTACACCAGGAATAAAGCTACAGGAAAGGCAAACCATCCTCTGAGAATAGGAGAAAGCAACTGCACAAGGGCCAGGAAACTGTCTAATGGGTGATGGTCAGGGGAAATGGGGTGGCCATTTGGAAAACAGCAGGGGGCCAGACCAGAAGAGGGTTGATTTGGCCCCTGGGCCTGACATTCCCCATCCCTGCTAGAGCTTTTGGGAGCTCTCTACCTCTTCATGAAACCCAGACATCTTCCCAGTTTAACGGGAAGAGCAATGGGAACAGCACTGGAAGCACAAACAGAGGAAAAGTCATGGTGACAACTGTGTGTTTATGCCTCAGTTTAAGTGTAATGTGTATGAGCAAGTGCCAAATGGAAGTTATCAGGCTAACCACACACACCTACAAATGTATGTAACTGAGCTCCCAAGTACTGTTTTTAAAGATCAGATGGACGCCTCTAGACCTTTTACGTTCTTTACAAATATAAGGAAAATGCACACGCAGATAAAAATCTAGGCTTGTAACAGTACAGGAACAACAACCACCTACACTTAATGTTAAATGTGCACAGTCAAGAACCATCATTTACAAGCACCTTTGGTCTCATATCTGAAATGGCGTATAAAAATGTTGCAGTCTTTTGAGAAATATTGCCAGTATGTTCTTCCATGATACCTGAACTAAGGCCACATCTAAATGAATGAATGGGACAGGATGCCAAAGTGGGCTGAATCAATTTTGCTCTAAGCACTTGATAAAAGTTACAATAAAACCTGTAAAAGTTCTGGGAGAGCTTGATGTAAATGGGGGGGGGGGAGCAGTGTGTTGAGGGGGCAACACGTAACCCTTCCCCTACCCAGTGTGTCTCCCTCCAGATTAAATGCTTCAGTGACATTTCCTCCCCAGGAGCTTCAAAAAGTGTTTTGCTAGTGCCTACTTAGCCCCTAATATTTTAGTGACTCAAAGAATGAATTTAAATGGCTGGGCATCATCCATCCGTCTTACCTTCTTATGTTGCAAAGTGCTTAACCATTACTCACGGTTGTCTTCCAGACCACTTTGCCAGCAGAATATAAAGGTGCTTGTGCTTCGTGCCACAGCAAGCTCCCTCTGCAAGCCACCAGTGTGGTTTTTTATGTAAGCTGGAGTGTACTTGCTCATAACCTTAAAGGAGGGAGTGGCTAGGAATCATATTAGTGTACTTACTGAGTTCAGCAATACTTCCCACACGCGTTGCAAGCAACGATTGCTCGATGGTCCGTAACTCGGACTGGCTAAACATCTGGACTTCCCCTGGCTTATTTGACCTTTGCTGATCTTTGTGAAGATTCAGACTTTCCGGCAAGCAAGGAACACCTGGAGTTAAAAGAGAAGCAATAAAGAATGTTCAAAACTATTGTAAAATCCAAAGCAATTTTAAAATCCAAACAATTGGAACTTTTTTTTTTAAACTATGTTTCTAAAGGTTTGAAGGTTCCCTCAGCTGAAGTTGCTTTCAGCAAAGAGTATAAGGGAGGAAAGATCATGGCAAATGAAGGAGTGACCAGAGTTGCAGCAGGACAGTCATCCAGCCAATGACAGTCGCTTGAGCCATTTGGATACCAGTGTGGTAGTTGGCAGTGGCCTAGGCAAACTCATCACGAGCAGTAACAGGGTTGTGCCATGCTTGCCAAATGGCTTGCTCACTGCTTTTTGCAACTCATGATGGCCTCTGGGTGACATGAAAACCCATTGTGGGTTCAACAATCTCTAGCATACAGCATGGGCATCAGTGTGGCGTGTGGCCCTCAAGAAAACCAGTCTGCAGGAAGCAGTCTGGGTTCACCAGGCACTACGACCCACTGTGACTAGTCACCCATGATGGATCCTCACATTGTGCAAATCCAGTCACTGAGTCAGAGCATCAATCCACCCAGTGCGGGGCCATTTACTCTGATAGCCAGTGGTTCTCTCAGATTTGAGGGGAGATATTCCCCAGCCCTGCAGACCTTTTCTAAACTGGTAACTGAACCTTGGACATTCTGTATATAAAACACGTGCTCAGTCTTCAAGCTTGGCAATTTCCCAGTCTCTCACATTATTTCTGCTGTATGTTTCCCACACTCCAAAGTAGACATTACTGTGAAGATATAACAAGCAGCTACAAATTTTGTCCTTTTTTGTTTACTCTAGTGTATGTAGATGGTCCCTGATCCAGATCAGGATCCTAGCATCGAGGATAGGAGGCTTTAATTCCACCCCCACCCCACTGTGATCACAATCCAGATCAGGGCCCTGAGCTTGCAAGTTATGGTGTTTTTGATTTTATGGATCAATATTTCACAATATCAATTCATGCATGCTGACACCAATTTATGAGAAGCTGGTACATATGCATAAATCCAGATTATAAACTTTCTAGATAATTTTCTGCATCTAATATCTTAGAAATACGTGTTGAGTATGTATGTGGGGAAGTTAACTTTGGCCCTCCAGAAGCTACTGCACTACAAAACCCATCTGTTCTGACCATTGTTTGAGCTGGCTTCTGCAGCCAGGCATCAACAAAGTTAAGAGGCTCAATTGTGTTAGAAGCGCTCCAGGGACACAAAGGAGCTCCTAAGTAATGAGAGTTTTGGGAAGTAATCGCTAGTAATTCACCCTAAACCTAAGCTTTGTATATGCTGATGAAGAGAAAAGTCATGTGAAATTCTAGCTGCCACTACCCCAAAACTTTTGATTAAAAGGTGAGATATAAATGTAATTGGTGTGTGAATGAGCAAGTAACCATTTCCATCTATGAACTGGTTCTAACTTTCAGAACTACAAAAAGAAGCCTCAACCACATCCACACACACATGTGAGAGAAAGACACATACCTTCACCCCTCCCTCCCTGTATTCCAATCTTGTTCTCAGTCAGAGGACAATTTATCCCTCCCCACAGCTGATAAATACTTGCCCTTTCTCTGATTAAAATGCCAATATTGTTGCCTGTGAGAAAGTCGGTCTCACTTGCGATATTTATTTATTTATTTATTAAAACATTTCTATGCCGCCCCATTTGCCGAAGCCTCGGGGTGGCTCACAACAAGCCTCGGGGCTCACAACAAGCCTCGGGGCGGCTCACAACATTTACAGTGTGTATACCTCTGAGAAGAAAGTACCTAAAGTTTCTGATGCTCCTGCCAGTTGCTACCAGATAAATATCAAAATGTATGGATTTGGAGTGTGCTGAGACGATCGAGATTCCTGAGGCAGGTATCCAGAAGTGGATGAGCAGGAAGCTGACTGTCCTAGTTATGCCCAGCCACTCCAAAAATTCAGCATCACCCACTGCAGTGGTTTCCAGAAACCTTGTCTCCTGGGAACCTTTTCGACATGGTTTCATTTGTTGAGAAGGAACCCTTGCACATGAGACACAGAGTTCTGTTGGGTTGCAGGGAAATGCAAGGAATGTATTTTAGGACAGGTACTTAGACTATGCATGATGCCAGCTGAGCCTGCTTCCTCTAGGCCAGCCTTCTCAAGTAGGGTGACCTCCAGATGTGTTGCACTACTACAGTTCCCATGAACTGCACCTATGCTGAGCTAATTACTGAGTGTGGGAGAAAGGTATAGAAAAGTCCTCCAGAAAAGAGTATAAGGTCTTGCAGCATCTCAAAAGATCAGCAGAAGTATTATTGTGGCATGTAAGAGTTCATGGACCACAGCACAGAGAATGGATTCCAACACAGCACTTCACACATTTGTTCATCTCTGTGGTGCCATAAAATGGATTGTTGTTGGCTATGTCTGCAACAGAATAAGGTCAGCACCCTTGGAGGCTTCTGTGAGTCCAAAACCCTACTGGGATGAATGTGGCAGCATGAGAGGACCAACAGGAAAGATGGTCCTTGCTTCCCCATCCCTTGCCTGCTGGGTTCTCCAGACAGGCTTTTTAGCAACATTGCTTCAGACAGGAGGGAAGAGGCTGAAAGCAGCTCAGGAGAGCCCATTTGCTGGCCTCTCTGGTGTCTCCCTGTTCCCACCAACCAGACTGCCCCCTTTTCCTACTCTTTGATTGATGTCAGTTTTCCAGATGTTAAGAACAGTAGGAGATCTTCCTGCGCAACAGTGGAAGCTTCCACCAGTTTCCTTCATGCATATGAGAGAAGACGCCACCTCTCTCCAAGCCCTTTGCACATGTCAGGGGCCATGTCAGTGGTCAGTTGCAACTACAAATGACAGGCTCATAAAGCAAGCTGACTTTTGCATATCCCTGATATTTAGTATGTTTGGAGTGGAAGAAAAGCTGTCCAGGCAGAAAGAGGTTCACTAAGCGATTGTGTGAATCAGCTCTTGAGGATTCTTCCTGCCTTAATCCCCTGGCTGACCCGCTTTTTCTAACAAATGAAAGCAACAGCATGTGTGGGATAAGCACAAACATTCAGAAGGATGTGATTCCACATCTGTAATAGTTCTCCTTAGAAAATGTTATGACTAGAAGTGGCCTGTCATAAATGAAAACAAGCAGTCTTGCAGAAGCCATCACTACACATTCCCACCTTCAGTTCAAGGTCTTATTTCTTTATTTCAATGCCATATTAATGAGTTGCATATTTTTCTGTGCTTCAATCGCACTGCTTAATCTGACAAGTACGTAGACAACTCAGGCTTCTACGGTCTGAATATGCCAGATGCATCTGCTGCTTTCCTGGTTATTGCTGCCATGTTTTGTGCCTGTCATTCTGAATCAAAGATTCCCATGCAACATCTCTATAAACTTCAACTGCTGAATGTGTCATCAAGTGTCACTGGAAAATTATGCAAATGACTGCCCTTTCTTTCTGCTGCCCAGTAGTCAGTGTTGCATGTTTCCACATATGCCCGATTTGCTTCAATCTTTTCCTGCTGTGCCCTGGCACCCATCTGGGTAGCAGACCGCAGACGTAGTCATTCAGTTTTCTCTAGCAATCCTGCATTGCTCCAGGGTCATGCAAGACTAAAGCAGCTTAAAAGCCTGCAACTCTTGGGCCATATACATACATAGTGCACATGTTAGCAGAAGAGGGATTCTATCACATGGAGAAGGGCGAAGACTGTGCTCTGGAACCATATCAGAAAAAAGCCTCTAAGCTAAGCATAAGTAACCTCTCTGGGCCACAGGCAGGCATGGCAGTTTGGGAATCCATCCTGGGCACCACCACAAAGTGGCTACCAAAGAAAGTGTTGTAAAGGACAAGTAACCTGGCCCAAGGAAGAGCTTTGGGTTGAGGCCCAACACATTAAACAATTCCTTTGCAGTTCAGCCCCAACAGAAACTTATTTCAACACAATCCCAGCTGCTGGTAGGATAATTTATTAATTACAATAAATATATAAATTAAAAAGCAGGGGGACTACAGCACCAGATGCCCATGGTCATCCTGTTGTCTATCCCTGCACAAAGAAACTGTCCTATTCTGCAGTAACTCCAAAGGAAGAGAAATAGGTGCTAAATTTGAGCTTTCCAATGATCACTTATGGGAAGTTTTGCCATGTTACAGCTACTACTAAGAAAACCCATACCCCATGCTCTTCTTCACTGCAGCTACTGTGGGCAAAAACACCAAAAGCAGCACACATTATCCATACCAAGTTAGAGAAGTGATGTGAAATTTTGTTCATCAGTATATACAATCTGAAGTTTATTTATATTGTTATGTATTCAAGATATTTTATGCTACTCCTCAGCCAAAAAGGCTCCTGTAGCAACTTAAATATAAACAATAGAATGTTCCCTGCCCATAGGTTTACAACGTACAGAGATATGACACACAGGAGAAAAGAATGAGGGGACATTTTTTAGCAGGACTGGCAAAATGGCCCAGTGCACCCTCTGATCTCCCTCTGTATGGTCCCCTGGCATGGCTGCTGCTGGTGACAGCTGGGGAGAAGGACACTTCCTGAGGGAGGTCCTCAGCAGGGCTGGTGGAATGGTTCTGCTCTCCCTCAGCTCAGCCTGCTGGCATGGCTGTTGGAACTGACAGCTGAGGGAAAATAAGCCTTCCTGAGGGACAGAATCTTTCATTCTTGCATTATAACAAGTATCGGTAAAATTCAGCCTAAGTCCTATGTAGAGTTAACCCACTCAAATGAATGGAACTTAAGTTAAACACAGCTAAGCTAAATTTCATTCAGTTCAATTACTCTTTTCTATTATGCATGTTGAACTTTAGTTTCTGTTTCCACAGCCTATTCATGCAAAACTAGTAGGCCCACTCAGTTATTCTATACAGAGTTGGGATGTGATAAGCTGATTGCATGATAACTACTCCTTTTG